ATCAATAGTTAAGTACATAATTAACGCTTGTGTTTCTATAAATTGGCAACTCACATCGCATTTTTTATTAAAAAACGTAAATTTTGTGTATTGATCAAAGAAAACTCTAAATTTCCGAATATATTTAAATCTTTATTCCAAAAAAATAAAGGTTTGTTTAGTTATAGAGACTTCAATGCCTGCCTGCGCATTTGCCCAGACAGCTCATTAAGCACACCCAAGTTTGAGCGGAACTCCTCAAAAATACTTAACATCAAAGTATAGAATATCACAAATATGAATCATATACACACATACAATAGCAGTTGCTATGAATTGCTACCGTATAAATTCAAGACACGCATTTGGTCGGACAGTGCATTGGCCATGGCGGTCATAAGTTCAGCCAACACATTCAATGGTCCATTACCCGGAGTTGTTCCAATATGATGAGTAGATTTTAGTGAACCTCACAAGGCAGTGCCTCTGGCTACAAGCTGGGTATCTGAATATTGGAAAATAAATAGCAATTATCTTTTTAAAATGACACGAAAAGTGTTTGTTTACAAAATTACCTGGACCACTCTGCCTTAGTACGGTTGTTGCTCCCTTTCATACCACAGTAATTTTGTATGCAACTCTGAATCAGCAAAATTCATGCTCCTTCTCATTATCAACCCTGATCAGATTTTACCCCCGAGGAGTACTCAAAAAGGTTTATTACTGTATATACTGTGGCATGTACAATAACTAAGTTTTCTGTTGATATGCATTGGTTTAGTGCTCAATTCTCTCATTGAGCCATTAAACAAATTAGTTATACCGAAATGAGCAGGAACACTAAGAAGCACCAATAGTTCAGTTGAGTGATTTTAGTGAATTTAGTCATTTTCGTCATTTATAGCAACAAAACATGTACAAACGACGAGAAAGCGACAGCCAGTGATGCCAGACATTCTCTGTTAAAAATCCCACGAAAATGGGGAAAAAATCCCTCAATTACCCACATCTTGAAAATTTAACCCACAAAATTCCCAACGAANGCTTTTTTCCCTTTTAATAAGTTTTGATGCAAAATATCCCTCAAATAGGGAAATTACCTACAATCTGGCATCACTGGCGACAGCATGCGAAGGCACACTAACACAATCTCACTTTTAGCTCACACTTACTTCAGTACGAAATCTATACAAAAACTATACTTTTCGACTGTAAATTGCATCGACTTTTTAATTTGCTCATATATTTTCTTAGTACATGCATACATAGATTCCCTTCAAGATCAATGATTTGATGGTATTCATGGGAAAGTTTATGTAGGTACATTTTACACTTTGAACATAAATGTGTATGTACATATTTTAAGGTTTACTTCTTAACGAACAAATTTTTTTTAGTTATTATGCATGGATAAAATCCTTCCTTGAATTCAGTACTAAAGTTTGACTTTTTATTTTTAGTATTTCAAGTGCTTATCAAAACTTTACGACACTTACATATTGACAAGATTGGCCATTTATCTTAAAATTATTTAATTTTTATTATTTGTTTATAAAAATGCAGTTTATACTTTAATAAAACCCCAAGGTTCAATTTTTGCACAACATTAAAAAAATCAACAAACTTTCGTAAAAATTTCGCGCTTTTAACTCGATTTCCTAGAAATACATGTTTTGAGAATGGCGTTTGTAGTCCGGTCAATTTAAATGAAGTGCAAGTTTAAAATAAACTTATCGTTGATTTTTAATATATATATATTTTTTTTTGATGACGGTGTTGCTCATTTTCTTCGTTAAAAAAAAAAATCGTGTTTAGATAATATGACATTGACGGCAAATTCCAGCGGTTTTAAACTTGCACTTTACTATACTAAAATTTAAATAGAAAGCTCAAAATTTTTACGAAAGTTTGTAAATTTTTTTAATGTTGTTCAAAGATTTAAACTTATTTTCATACAGTTTTTGTTAAGGAATTAACTATATTTTTATAAACAAATAATTAGAATTAAAAAATAATAAAATAAATAGTCAACTCTAGTCAATATATGAGTGTCGTGAAGTTATGATATTTAAGAACATAAAGAATTAACGATGACACTGTTTCTAACTATATGAAGCTGATTTCGACATTTTGTTTTAATAAGATTTAATATCGAAAATATTCTTTCAAAACTTGCCTAGGAATGTGAGGTCGATAGCACACCTTTTGCTATGTTATAATGGTTATTTCAAAATCTTTTTTCAAAACTTACAAAGGCAAAAACGAGAAGGCAAAGACAAAAAGATAAAACGAATTCCCGCAGTGAATTTTCAGAGCTACGTATATATTTATAGTATTCATCACAAAATTGTACTAAAAAGTACTGCGTAGTAAACGAAATTGTATCAAAAAAGTACAATTGTACTAAAAATGCCAACACTGATGTAGAACAAAGTAGAACATAAATAATATTAAACTCATTGAAATTATTTTCAGCCTCTCACTCGACCTAATGAGTAAAATCCAGCTGGGTAGACTATACTCGATAGAGACAAAAATTGTCGCCACATATAAGAGTTAGTATATTTTGAGTGTGCTCTTATTTTGGTGGAAATTACTCTTAGTCATTTTTTGAATTAGTGTAAGTGCTCATTTGCACTAATTTGTATGGGTCATGAATAAGTACACTAATTTTATTAGTACTCAAAGCCGGTCTCTGGTACAAACTGAATTTTTGTACTGCATGTCTCCTAAAATATTTGAGGTAGAGTACTGGTACTTTGTATGGCTATATATGTTATCAATCCTTTACTCAGGGAAAAAATGAGGGTTATTTAAAAAAGGGACGTGGCGCCTGCCATACTGCAACTTTCTTAGTTCACACATATATTCCAGCTTTCTCTCGATGCGGAACAGATTACGACACGGTTTCACCGGCAACTCGACAATAAATCGAGCATCAGGTGGCCTCTGGTGCGTTGATTCGAAGTGTTTTTCTCAAAAGCGTTCTTCAGCTGTCAGATGCATTTTGTGCGGGGTCTCTTCTAACTTCCACAACCTTGTAAGTGCCCTTTCTAATCGTACATCACAATGCCGACCAATATGTCTATGTGACCAGGCTTCATTAACTGCGGATCTGCTAAGAATAGTCCATGAGTGTGTAGCCATGTCGACGCAGCCAATGTTTGCGTTGGCAAATCTCCCGTAATTTTCGTAAAAATCGGCGCATTGATCGTGTAACATTTGCCTGAATAATATGACGAAAGTGAAAGCAGAACCTCGCATCTAGCTCATCCTCCTTGTGTTGACCCAATACTTGTGATGACTACCGAAGACGACGTTCTTGGTAGACCCAGGCGTTGAACACACGACTCCGTTACAAAAGATGCGTGGGACCCAGAATCGAACAACAAACGTGCCGGTTGCCAACGACCGACGGCATCGCGCACCTTAACTACAGCAGTATGCAGAAAAACGGCCATTTGGTTTACAGGTAGTGGGTCAGCACCAGAATTTAAGCACGAAGAATGGGATCCGCGGGCGGGATCCATCCATGAATCGATTGCGAGTGGTGGTTTCATTGTTAAGAGGAGCGGCATCTGGCATTAAGCGCAGAATCGCATGCTTTACCGAATTTTACCTTGCTACTTTTTCTTTCGCTTGTGTTTCGTAGGTCAAGATTGTTTTTGCGAATTGTTTGCAGAGAACAAATCAAAGTCGTTCGAATGTTCTTCAATGTCACTGCAAGGTCATGTTTAACAAAATAGCTCCACGTTTTGAATGCGGGTAAATAATGTTTGTACAGAGCGGGCGACGCACGACTAATTTTGTAAAAAAAAAAATCAGATTTTTTACTATAGTGTGCACTTGCTTATGAATAAACGTAATGTAATGTAATGTGTAATGTACATATATTGCGAGCGCTATTAGCTATCCGGGTCGAAGGAACAGTAAATGTTTCGGCGGATTCCTTGCGTATATATGGTTGCGTTAAAGCTAAGCAGCCAATCAATCCGGATTAACTAACAAGTAATTTTTAAGCCAAAAACAAAACCGACATCAATTTTCATATAAAAACCAAATGGGACCACCTGTGAAGTAACACCTTTTCTTTAAAAAAAAATATAGAAATCGGTTACGTTGGGGCAAAGTCATGCGGTAACACACATACATTTTTTTTTAATATTCCGACGAATTGATAACCTTTGCTTTTTTGTGAAGTCGGCTAAAAAAGCGACTTATTCGGAATTCATTTTCCTTTATTTGGTATTTTCTTAACTTAATAGGTTCAATAGGTTTTATGCGGTATAACATAAGGTGGTTTAACGTGTTAATGATATATTAGCCGTCATCGATTCGCCAACAGTTAACGACTGGCGAAACGAACGAACTCAATGAGGTACAACCAAACTCGCTATCGTCTATGCGTGCTAGCTAACTTTGTTGGTGCTTTCACATGCAAAATATTTCGTTAAGCGACCGGAACTCAAACATAGCAAGCAGCGAAGTGGCGAATCGATGACGGCTATTTATACATATTACAAGTTTACAATTAGCGTAAGCGAACTCAACATAATTGATACGAACATAAATATGAGAAAATTAAAATGTTTTTTTTTCGCTTTTTTTAATTTAACGATTTTGGGTGCACCTTTTATTATACGAAGATTCAGATACTATTTTCCACTCTTAATTCTATGCTAGAAAGGCAATTTCTGAAGGTCTGCCAACAGCGTTTTAAAAACAAAATTGTTCACATAACCTTAATTAATTAAAGAAGTCGTGCATGTCAACACATTAACCATTAACGTACTTACATATGTATATACGGTAAAAATCTTAAACTATTGTAGCATATGATTTGGTGATAAACAGACTAATACACTGATTAACATTTTTAACCGAATAGTATTTTCGCTTTACTCACCGATTCACACGCATATACCACATACAACATAAACACTTTAGACACACTTTCAACACATTAATATTTTTGTTGACCATTAAGGACTAAACGTTTATTCATTATAACGATTTCACAGAAAATTGAACGGCAGGGAAAACTGGAACTGGCAGCCAAAGAACGGGAAAATCAACGTCTCCAACAAATACCAAAGAAATGGAATCGACGTGAAGAGTATGAATTTTTGCGGGTGCTCACCGGTTACGGTGTAGATCTGCAGCCGTCCACTTCCTTAGGCCTTGTTTTGGCATCAGACTGGACAAAATTTAAGCAAATGGCACATTTGGAACGCAAAAGTGATGAGACACTAAGCGACTACTACAAGGTATTCATAGCGATGTGTAAACGGAAAGCTGGTGTCAAGCTCAACGATAATGAGCGTGGTCTCGAAGGAATATTCGAAGAAATTAGTGAGGATCACGCGAAACTAATTTTAGAGCGACTGGAATTGCTGTCAAAATTGCGTGAGATAGCGCGGCATCCGCAGCTTGAGGAGCGCCTTAAGTTATGTCAGAAGAATCCAGATACACCTGATTGGTGGGAGCCGGGTAGACATGACAAGGAGCTCATCTCGGCAGTGCTGAAACACGGCCTCTATCGATCAGAAACGTTCATTTTCAATGATCCTAATTTCAGTTTTGCTGAATCCGAAAAACGTTTCATACGCGAATTAGAAGCACAAATTCAGCGATCAATCAAACTGGAATCCTTCCATGCTGATCGCTTACCATCTTCAATACCTAATGTAAGGGGTGAGGTAATTGATCTAGATGATGAGTTACTCACAAAAGATAGTCTTATCAAAAAGGAACAATTTATGCCTTTGAAAACTGAAGTTAAATCCGAGGTGTCGGCAGATGGCGCTGACAAACTCAGCGTTGGAAAAACTGAAGCAGATAATGAGACTTGTGTAGTTTCAGAAGAAACAAAAAATAAGAATAATGACGAGAAGAGCGACACCAATGCAGATCTTAGTTCCAGTAAGGAAATAACAGACCCAAACACAGAATGCACTGGGATCGATTCAGTACACGAACTACAGGATGAAGACATAAAAACATTTAATGCAAGTACAGATGACGAAATTAATTCCATGCAAACATTTGAAAATATGCCCAAAGACGAAAACGAAAAGATTGATATTGATGGTAGCTTCATCATTAAAAAAGATTTGGACGCTAGTACAGCTGTTCTTGACAATGAAAACTATAATGACATGAGCACATCTAATGACGTTGGTGACGGAATAACTTCAACTTCTGCTAAGGCTTCAGAGACTGCAGAAAATGCAGAAGAGATTCAACCCGATAAAATGGAATTAAATGAAAAGGAGATTTTAGGCAAAGATGATAAGCCATCTTGTTTGGTAATTGAAAATAATAAAAAAGAAAGTGGCGACAAAGCCGATCACAAAGAGGATGTAATTAACAAGGACAGTGTAATTATTTCTAATATTGAGGATTCTAGAAGCATAAGTTCAAAAATAGAACAAACAATCCCGCAAAACGAAGGCGCTGGTGCATCGTCATCTGATGAAAAACCAAAGTCTACTGCCGATGAAGAAATACTCGATTTAGCCATAGATGCTACTGGTGTCGCTGATCCCGATGATGAGGATATCATGAAAGAAAAGGAAAATTCCGTTGAAGAAGAGTGCAAGAAGCAAGCGGCCGAATTAAAGGCTCGTTTCCCTGATTTGGAAGTTATACAACCCGCTACTGTGAAACAAAAGCAGGATAAACCCAAACTGGAAATGTGCATGATACGATGGTTTAAAGATTTCGCTCTTGAACGCAGAATTTCGCATATCGTCATCTGTGTTGAGACTAACAAGTGGCCTGTAAATAGGAACTATACTGCATTCGTCGGTTGCAAGGGTATTGATCTTAATATTTGTCTGCATGAGGCTATCCCACATCTGAAAAACTTTGAGCGTCCGCCGTCCACAACCGATGTAATCACTATAACTACAGAACAGGGTGTTTCGAAAAATTTGCAGGCATCACAGATGCCACTGATAGTTCCTTCGTCAACTCCATCAATCCCTATCACAACACCGCCCGCCATTGGTGCTAATATTGGCATGTCCCTCTTAACGCCTCCAGCAAATGTCGCCGGTGGTGACGGCACAGGCAAAGACATTGTTAATGTGGTCACTCCACCATTGGATTCTAACAGTATAAATCTTGCGGTAACTGCTGCAGTGGCTGCAACTGCTTCTGGTGGAAATAATGCAAATGCACTATCTGCGAGTACTTTATCAGCGCTGCTCCCAGGCATGACCATGACACCATCATCCGCTGCTGCGGTGACGGCTTTAACAAATTCTCCTGTTGTACCACCGAGAGCCAATATTTCCAGCAGTGTTTCAACTCTAACTCCAGCCGCACAAACTACCGGCAAAAAGCGAAAACGCCATATTGCTATTGACGTTGAGACTGAGCGCGCCAAATTACATGCGCTGCTGAATAGTTCACAAAATAGTAAGAAGTATAATGAACTCATATTTATGTGTACTTAAATAATGGTTTATTATTCTTAGTGGGTCTAAAAGATTGGGAGAACGAAATCGCAAATATGGAACCTCCAGCTGCCTCGCCACAACCAACAGGACGTCGCAGTGCTTCATCTGCTTCACCAGTTGCGCCGACGGCGTCTGCTACAAATACGCCACTGCAGCCGCCACCTGCACATCAACATGCGTCGCTGCAACGTCAGTCATCCAGTCAATTCAGCAAACCGGCTGTACCACCACTTAAAACGCCACCAACGTCCATAGGTGCACCAATGGACTTGTCTTCAAGGTATTTATATGAATCTGCTTTTATGTTGAATTCGTAACGTATGTTTTTTTTCTCAAATTAGCCTCCCGCGGGTAAACATGGCAGACATGCTCAAATCGGCGTCAGGTGCCATTGATTTAAGTGAAGTGCAAGATTTCTCAATGTCCTCAAAGAAGGCACCTACTTCGCATTTGCAAGCTTCATTAAATTCCGCATTCCCATCTATGCTCGGCAAGGGTAAACTAGACGATACCCTTAACAAATTAATGAAAAAAAATAACTGCGTAAGTTGTAAATGTTAACGTTTATATGTTGAACCATATTAAACTCATGCAAATTTGGTTTATTTATTTTGCAGACAATTGAGGAACCTGTTATTGGCAAGGAGAAGAAGCGTAAAAAGTTAGACGAAATTGTATTGGGTCTATCAGCCGCTAAGGAACAAAAAACTTTCCCTGATCCTTCACTGCCGTCGTCCAAGAAACCGCAAATACCGCCTAGTGTATCGGTAACACCTGCTAGTTTGCAAACTTCAGTATCAAGTCAAAACCAACAAATTCAAAAACCGTTCACTATCACTGTTACGACAGTGCCTGGAAGTGAGTTTGAGTCTCTGAGCCTATTATTAGCCTAGTTTTATCCTCCAATTAAATATATAATAATTTCGGAATATATCTGAACACATTTGCAGAATCTAAATCGGGTGGAAACACTTCAATGCCCTCGCCGGCGCCAGTGGCTTCTCCATTAAGCAGTGGTTTGCCTTTGATGAGCGGTGGACTGTCATTAAAAGATATTAATGCGATCGTTGCCCAGACCATGGCTTCAGATCCACAAACACTGCTCAAGCAACAGCAAAAGATGATGCAATGTTTACCGCCGGCGCAACGCAAAGCGTACGAAGCTATGTTAGCGGAAATGGAACAAGCCATGAAATTGAGGTTGGTAAAAACATATTTTTATTTTAACTCATCTACCCGTTGCGGTATGGGTGCATTCCAAAACGTCAAAATACAAAGCATCCGTGTCTTTTATTTCTGAACCGAACTAGAAGAAGGAGTCTAACGTGCGCAACCTAGTTGAAAACTAGCATCTAACCGTGGTTGCGCACATTTGGAATTACTATCTACTGAGGCTTAGAAATAAGAAATACGGATGGTTTGTATTTTGACGTTTTGTAATGTACCCTATATTTACGGTGACCAGACTTCTGTGCACAAATATCGGGACATTTCTAAAACATCGAATCCAAATTTACAATTTGGTTTTTGGAATAAAAAGACATGACATACAGCTTTTTTTTAGACAAAACAAAGAGAAAAAACTTGAAAATGATCGCAAAAGTGTATACACTAGGAATGTTAATACCGGGATTTTCGGGATTTGTAATTTTCACTGATGGCAACAATAGAAACTCCGTTTCTTGACTAGTATTGGCTATATTTCTTTTAATTAATTAATATTTTTTTTATAAATGTCTAGCTCATTATACATATTACAGCGTGTGATAGTAACTATTACACACAAAAATCAATATATTCGCGAAACCATGGGCCAAATATAGGAAAATGATATAGGAAATCGATGGCTGAGTGATATAGAAAAATGATTTAAAAAACTCAGTGAAATTTGCTAAGAGAAAAAGTATGGGTATCACAATAAAGAGGAAATTCTGAAGAATTTTAACAAATTAAATTTTTTGGTGCATAATGACTGGCAAGTATTGAAAATTTCCTTTAAAAATTGTATCCTTGAAATTTCGCAATATTTGTTTTTGAGAAAATTATATGTTAAGGACTGATGTAAACTCGATAACATCCTCAAATTTCGTCCTTCTAACTTTATCAACTTAAAAAATTACCTATTCGTCCTTGTGAATTCTAAAATGTTTAATTATTTTAAATTCTAAAGAAATTTATTCTTTAATTTGGTACCCATATTTTCATTCTACATTGCATTGAATTTTTCAAATAATTTTTGGAATTTAAAGTAAATCCTGACGTCAGAGAGAAAAAATAAAAACGCCTCTTAAAAAAAATAGGTTTCAAACCCATTTATTTATTATTTATTTTATGGTAGGAGAGCTTCTCAAACAATATAGACGCATTTTTCTCTATTTAAGTTGTTGAAAAGTAAAGAATTTCTAAATCCCGGGATTGTGATGACGACATCTCAAAAATCCCGGGATCGTAAAGAGCGAAAAAATTAACATCCCTAGTATACAGACAATAGATATATGTACATATTAGAGGTTTACGCCCCCGGGCCACGCTGCCGCCGTTTTTTGTCATTTCTAACGCGCCGCCGCCGAGAGAGAGAGTTACGAAAATATCGGCGCGGCGGCGGCGGCTTTCGGCGCCTAAGGAAATTTGTACAAAATTTACATGATGTATGCCCATTGAAAAATATCGTTTGATGGAATACTACTCGTATAAATAACGCTATTTTACGAAATCGGAATAAAACAAAGGGTTAAAAAAGCCCGTTCTAGTGGTAGTTGATGGGTTAAACTATTGGAAAAAGTATACCTCCCTATCTATAACACGCGAAAAATCGTAAGAACTACGTAATTTAACATAACGGTAGATAAGATTATTATATTTGTGCGTGGGCATTTTCTTGATAAAAGCATTTGAAAGATGGCTAATTCACACCCAAATACATAATAACAAATATTTTAATAGAAAACAGCTAAATTTTTGCTTTTATAGTAAAATATCAATAATTTTGCCGCCACGAAGTTATTGCGCATATGAAAATGTAGCTGTTAAAGTACCAAATTGCTGGCAATATTTATCAAGATAAAAGCTGATAACACTGTAGGTAAATTTTAAGGTTTTGAAATATCACGGCCAAACACGTAAACTTAATTTTGGCCTCTAGATTACGATGGCGTTTTCAGAAAATCCGTATCACGTCAAAATTTTGAGATATTTAGGGGGGAAGTTTTAGAGTTCTGAAAGTGAATTTTACGTCGTATAAAACACTGTGCTCAGGTTTTGAATTTTTTTCTGGGCAAAGGTTTTGATAACTGATCTTACTTAACTGGGATCTTTTAAATTCAATGCCGTCCTCCGTTTTTCCAGATTGGCTCTAGTTTTCGAGATAACGGTGCTTGAAAATCTGCTGAAATTTCAGGTTTTTTGTTAATAATGTCCCCAGTTTTAAGGTTATTTTACTAAAATTTTGCACGTGACTGTATTTTGATATTACCTTAGCTATTTCTGAAAATCATGGAAATCGGTTCACTATAACATATAGCTCCCATACAACTGATTGTTCAGATATGTGGTTTTGCGTTACAACTCATATTTTATTTCGTAATATTTTTTTATAATATTAGTTTATATACTATTTGGAGCTAAATTTGGGTTCTCTGCAATCCCGTTTTGGCATATTTTGCTAGTTTCTATTGCTCGAATTTTTTTTTTAATATCCTTTGCCTCCTGCGATCGACCAGCAAAAGTCCGCCAACATTGAATTCAATCGTTTTCCAGCGAATCGGTCCTCAAAACACATAATGGATTGGTGAAATCTCTCTCCTACCTCGTCGGTTTCTGTTGAAAGCTGTTGCTCGTAAAAGTCAAAGTGACTGTGTAGCATGTGGATTTTAAGCGACATGTGCACATCAAAGGCGTCAAAAGATTCCATCAAGTTCGCAATAAAAATGGCATATTCTGGTGAACGATTTTTACACAGAACGTGTTTAATTAAAGCCCGAACTGCATCCCATGCAACAGCTGTTGTGCCATCAAGAATTTCCAAGAAGCCTTGATCCTTCATTAATCTTCTGATGTCCGGCCCATTAAGCACACCTGAAATAAAAATTATAGGGTTCTTAAAACAAGAGAGAGATATAATAAAATATATGAGCGAAAATCTCTCAAATGGGCCACCCGAAATTGGACGGTCAAGATATTTTCGCACAAATCACTTTATTTGGTTTACAACCACTTGAGAGATTTTCACTCATATACAATCAAAAAACTACCTTCACGGATTTTTTCAACGGAAAGTTTTGGAAAGGCATTATTTTTCAAATATAGGAATGCAGTTTCGTTGACTCTAACCAACTGTTTGATGTAATTCTTAACAACACCAAGTTTGATATGTAAATCGGGAAGCATGATTTTATTAAGCGCTATCAAGGGCTCGTGAATTATATTGAATTGGCCAATCGATTGTTCCTTTCTTTTTGCCCAATCACATTTGGTATAGTGATTGCATTTGGCTCTACTATCCCAAAGACAGAACGAACAACAGTATTTAGTGTAGCCCGTTTGCATGCTTGATAGTCCTGATTCCTTTATTCCAACCGCATACAAGATGGGAACGGGTTTCTTGCTACTATCGCGATAGAGCAAGACTGCTTTCAAACTTCGCATTGATGCGTCCATAAAGAGACGCCATTGTTCGGGTTTATAGTCAGTAATTCCCATTTCATTCATCAAACCTGCATAGATAGGGCGTTCTTCAACAAAATTCTGAGATAGGATGTTTTTCAATAAAATTCTGAAATAGTGCGTTCTTCAATCAAATTCTGAAGTAGGCGTTGTTGAAAAGTTTTCTGAGATAAGGCGTTTTCTAACTGGCTGCCGAGATAGGTAGATCTTCCACTCAGCTATCGATATACAAATGTTAAGTTTGTTTGTTCGGCGGACAAAAACTAAAAAAGTTCTGCACCATTTTTTTTTAATTTGGGCATCTGCTGCAGACTTTCCAAGGTTGGTTATACTTAGGCGTGGTACATTCCAAACATACAGAAACTTTTACCTATTTCATACACTCATCGATTAAGGTGAGGGCAAACTATACATAATTTCATGGTTTTATTTAAATTTACTCATTTTTTCGATTGAAACCAAATGTATTGTTGGTGCATGCATAACAATTTTCAGCTTCGTGTTTTCCGGGATTTGTCCAAATCATTGGTAAACCGAATGGTAACGAAAATCGTTTTTTTGTCCACCAAAAATTCATCGCACTAATGCACGAAATACATGTGAATTCGGGAGTGTATTTATTTTGTGCAGGTTCAGATTGCAAAAAGTACCATTTATAGCATGCTAGTGCATTTTTATTTGAGACTAATTTACGCTGGTCTGATTTCAAAACGAATTTACCACAAACGAAACAAAACTTGTTTAATTTATTGCCACATATCTGAACAATCAGTTGTATGGGAGCTATATGTTATAGTGAACCGATTTCCATGATTTTCAGAAATAGCTAAGGTAATATCAAAATACAGTCACGTGCAGTAAAATAACCTTAAAACTGAGGTAATTATTAACAAAAAAAACCTAAAATTTAAGCAGATTTTCATGCACCGTTATCTCGAAAACTAGAGCCAATCTGGAAAAACGGAGGACGCCATTGAATTTAAAAGATCCCAGTTAAGTAAGATCAGTTATCAAAACATTTTCTCAGAAAAAAATTCAAAACCTGAGCACAGTGTTTTAAACGACGAAAAATTCACTTTCAGAACTCTAAAACTTCCCCCCTAAATATCTCAAAATTTTGACGTGATACGGATTTTCTGAAAACGCCATCGTAATCTAGAGGCCAAAATTAAGTTAACGTATAACGTTTAGCTGTGATATTTTTACCTCCCTACTGTGTAATTATTGCTTGCCAAGAGCAATATGCGGTCTCCATTGGTAAAATTTTGCCTGATAACATTATCAAGATAAAAACTTTTCCTGCAGAGACAGCAAGTTATGGGCATTTGCGCCGGCGTCGCCGCCGCCGCCAAGCCTGTGGGCATAAAGCTCTAATACATATATGGTAGCGAGAATGTAAATAGGCAAAAGTCATTTTGGCTACTTTTCTTTGTTTAAAAAATGTTAATTATTCTTTTATGAAAATATAGCTTACTATCTAAAAAATAAACTTGTAAAACAAAATTTCAAACTTTGAAGAACATTACAAAATATTCGACGAATTATAACAAATTTTGATCAAAATTTTAGACTTTTTTATTCAGCTTTTTAACTCAGTGCAACAAAGTGCAAGTATAACAAACTGCAAGTTTGAAGAAGCTTGGACTAACCGTTGATTTTTGGCAATTTTTTGTTCGTACATTTTCTTACATACAAAGTATGTTCGAAATTTTTTTTTGTATGGAGAAAATGAATGAAGATGTTCTTCGGCAAGAAAAAAATTATTCCAAAAATCACGGAAGGCTACTTAAAATTTGTACTTCGTAAAATTAAATGGGCTACAAAGTAGATATGCATCTAGTCGAATGATTCGAATGTTGAAATGTAAATAAATAGATCAAAATTTTTATGAAACTTTCTGAGATTTGGCAAATTTTTGTGCAAAGTTCGATTTACATGGATTTTGTTATATAACGAGCTACACAACAAAGAATGCTAAAATGTCTCTTCCCTATTTACATACATATATTCTTGCCACTGTATCTACAGCTTATATTTTTCAAATCCATGAATTTTTTGAGGGAATCAGTACTATTTTTTATAATTTCTTTAAACTCTCGTTAGAATCGTTTCATAAAAAAAAACCTAACAAATAATAGTAAAAACCTTAAAAAAAATTGGCGAGAATGATGACCGCAATATAGTGAGAGTACCAGTTTGACAGAGTAAAGCATAATCAAAAATCATAAAAAATAAGGATGCTGGCAAGGCATATTAAACAGCTAATAGCAGTAGAGCAAACACAACCCTGCCATGTAATTTGTTGTTGCTTGAGAAACCTAGAATGTCAGAACAGAAAGAAATCTAAACACGTTCGACCAATCAAAAAGCAATCAAAAAGGATGCTCATGTATGTGAATGTGAATGTGTATATGATTGTAGCAAAGTTTGACAGTTCAAATTTTTCACGAAATAGAAAAAAGTCAAAACTGCAGCCCTGCTGCTACTACCTTTGGATGCTGTCTATGTTTGTGGCTCCCCTATATTCTATGTTCTATGTGATAACGAAAGTCCTGGCACGTTTGTACGAAAAATTGTTTTTGGTCCAGAGTACAAGAAGACTCAGTACAAATATGAAAAATCGGGACACTTATACGTCCCGACTTTTAAAAGATATGCAGCGGGACAATTTTCTCATAATCGGTACTGTCCCGCCAAAATCGGTACGAATGGTCACCGTACTTATATTAGAACTCCGAACTATTTGATATAGCTTTTTCTCATCTTACAGCGCTAAATATAATGTACCAGACTTGAAAGTCAATAAGTGGCTGACGGACATGAGCACACCACTTTCAGATCAACTCAATATGGATTTTAGCCCAGTGGCAAGTACCAGTAGCAACACAAATAATAGACGCTCGAATCGCCAGCAAAGTAGTAACTCAGGACATCAATCATCTGTCTCTCAATTGAACAAAGCTGCAGCCGGACAGTCAGCGCAGCAATCACATGCGCATCATCAACAGCAGCAACAACAGCCGGCAATGGCTGGTCCACAGGGACTCACTGGCGAAGAGCCGGTGCCTGTGGTCAATAAGCAAACCGGCAAACGTATTTCTGGCAGTAAAGCCCCACAACTAAAACGTCTCATGCAGTGGTATGGTGAATGTTTTTTTGCTTGGAAATAATCTAAAATATTATTTCTTTTTATTTGTCTCAAACTAGGTTAACTGAAAATCCTGCCTACGAAGTTGATCCAAAATGGCTGGAACAAATCCAAAACCCAATGTCTATTCCCTCTCCAAAACTAAGTTCCATGGACACTAGTAATTATGCATTGTCAAGTAAAACCACGCACGGAGGACGCCCTTCATCGACCACAAGCAGCTCGTCATCTGGAGCCCATACACAGCAACAACAATCCTCATCCGCACAATCGTCCCCTGCCCCATCACCCACGGTGTCTTCCAAGAAGTCTTCACGGCAATCGGCCATCGATCAAGCAAACGCAGCCATGCAGTTTGGATCATTGGCCGGACTTAACCCAAATCTCTTGGCCAGTTTACCTAGTCTAGGTGCGTTTGACCCGAAAAACGCGCTTGGCGCCTTCGATCCAAAGAATCCGCTTCTATCGATGCCATTTGCTGGAATGCCTGGTATGAGCAACATACCTGGACTGAATAATTTGAATAGTATGAACCTGTTTGCTAGCTTAGCTAGTATGGGTGGTCTCGGCAATTTGGCCACTATGGATCCACAAACATTGGCCGCATTAATGGCTGCTGGATCAGCGTTGGCAGGTTTGGGTAACACGAATCCTAGCCCAGGTAGCTCAAGTACTGGAAAAAATTCTCAGTCCGGTGGTTCATCGAGTAAGAAAAATAAAAACGACGCACAACAAAATGCTATGATGAATTTGGGTGCTTTGGCAAGCAACACAGGAAGCAGTGGCAGCACTGGCAATGGTACTGGAAATTCATCAAATAAAAATGCCAACGCTGCTGCTGCATCGCAGTTGACAGGCTGTTTCCCATACCTCTTCCCCAACCCATCGTTACTTTATCCACCAATGGGTTTGGGAGGTTTGAATCCATATTCATTAGGCTCAGCAGGGCTTGGCTCAGCTTATGATCAGTTGGCGCAACAGTACAATTTATTGAATGGTGGAACAGGGGTTACCTCATCAGCAGGCAGTTCCTCCACAACACAGTCGAAGTCTCACCAGTCTCAATCGAAATCTAGTAATTCGCGTGCATCTACATCATCGTCACCATCAGCTGCTTCAGTGGCAAATCTTATGAATGCAATGGCTAGCATTGGAGCAGCTGGTCAGCCAACAACCAGTGTAAGTAGTTCACAGTCTTCGTCACGCAGTTCTGGCCGTCAGTCTGCAGCCAGTCGAGCTGCTGCACAAGTAGCTGAAATGGCACAACTTTCAAGTCTTTTGTTACCGGGTACTGATCCGCATCTGCTTGAGTCCCTCAGTCGCATGGACCTTGCACAAAGTACTCGATTACTAAGCTCTTTAGGAATACCACCTATTACTGCGACAGCACCACAATTATCTTCTAGTGACAAACGATCGTCCAATAGCAATTCAGCAGCCTCGATTGCTGCAGCGCAAGCCGCTCAGGCGGAGAAGCAAGCCGCCAAAGAGCAGCAAAAATGGATGGAGAGCTTAGCGCGAAGTCAGTTACCAACAGATTTAGCCACATTACAGGCCTTCTCGCAAAGCAAATTCCCGGCCTCGCTAAGTGGTGGAAGCCAATCGACCTCAACGTCATCGTCCGCGTCAACATCGTCGGCTTCGACGAGCAAGAATGCCTCGAAGGCGGCAGCTGCTGCGTTAGCTGCACAATTGCCGCAAATACTTGGGCTGCCAAGTGACTTTGCACCAGCGATGATAGCCGATATGGCACAAGCTTTGACCGCTCCTGGTTCGTTGGCAAGCTTGGCGGGTTTGACTATGCCACCTACCAGCAGCGCGTCATCTATAGGTGGCAGCAGCTCTTCGAGTTCCTCGAAACGCCAACGTGGAGGCAGTGGCGGAGGCAATAGTAGCAATATGCTTGACCCAGATGCCTTGACCAAGGATGCCTTTAAACAACAAATGGAGTACTATACAAAAACATTAGGACTCGGATCAGGCATCTCTCTAATACCCACCTCAAGTATGAGCTCCAGCGGTGTAACTAACTCAATTTCTAACGCCCAAATCGATGAGCATCACAAATCGAAACGATCACGGTTGGATTCACATGCAGCAGCGTTAGCAAACGCTAAAGACGAATTATCCGCTGCCATGCTGGCCAGCGGGTTGCCACTTAATCTTGGCGGCGGCATGGCCAGCATGGAGAAGAGCTTGCGCGGCGTTAATGTCGGCATGGGTGGTAATGGTGGTGCTACAATGCCCGAAGCTGACAAAGTCACACTAACACCATTAAACTCCGCCGGCATTGCGGCCAACTTGCCATCACAGACCACCATTACCATTGCGCCACCGATAAGTTCCGGTGCTAGTTCCAGCAGTGAACGTTCCGAACGTAGTGAATCCCGAATTTCTCTGACCATCACAAATGCTGCTGATGCAGCTAAATTGCCGCCACCATATGAGGAAGCAGACGAATTGATAATACAACCAATATTGAAAAAACCACAAAACATCCCGACATCGGCAGCACCAAGCGCGGCATCAAGTAGCCATGGCAGTGCAGAGGATTTGGAAGCAGCCGTAGCGACCAATATGGGTGGAGGTGCTACCAGTGTCAACACAACTCCTACGCCATCGACGTCTGCCGCGGCAGCTGCAGCAGCAGCAGTGGCCTCCGCTAATGAGGAACATCGACGCTCATCCAGCCGTTTAAAACGACCACGAACGGGCGCCGACCATTCCGGTAACGAGCAGCCACCTGAAAAACGACGTGAATTGCGTTCAACGCGCCACACACGACAATCGAGTGGTAGCCTCGAAACAACATTGAATTTGTCTACAAACAACGAGGCTGAGGAAAAAAATGAATGAGTGCTGCGACGTACTACGCGACTTATGACGAGTAAATAGAACCAAACGCGCCCGTATCGGAATATGAATAAGAACCATGAACTTATTGTATGTAGAATACATCAAGAATCAAAATAAAATTGGAAGAGGGAGAGGAGCGGGGGCAAGAGAGTTAAATATTTGTATGGTTATTGGTTGTGAATAAGGGTACAGCATATAACATACCATGCTACTGTTCAGCGCCTCTTTGCATACATTTAAAATCTGTTTATATAGTTGTTAAGTTGCTTCACAGATTTTATAATGTATGGGTCGCCGTTCAACAGCTGAAAACGGCAACTGCTGCTATCGTCACTTTTTTGCTTGGCAGCCTACACACTTCCGTATTAGACTTTGATTTTGTCCATGGGTGAAGCGCTTGTCATTCAAGATGCTGCGGCTGTGCTTACGTTTTGACAAGATACACGCACTTGTAATATTTTCAGAAACTTACCCCTCTCCTTCATTTGATATATATATATAGGTATACATATATATGTATATATTTTATAAATTTGACGGACTAAGCAGAAAGAAACCAGAAATTCATTTTGAAAGCGCTTATAATTAACATTTAAAAGTTATTACTATAACATACTAAAACAAGTAACAAATAAAGAAAAAGAACAGAAATAGTGAAGCAAGGTATAATGACAATTTAATTTAATTGTATTGCTTGATATTTTACGTAATATGGAATGCCTAAGCTGAACTGCAGGCTCCAGCGATAAATTGGATGTTACGACTTTTGGTCGAAGTAATACATGATGATAATGTATGTACGTGTTGTAATCGCAAGCGTACTGCTCGAAAACGCTTGTAGAGATACAAAAGCCGAAAAGCATATGGAATAGAATAGAGAACTTACATATAAATAGATATATTTTCTTAAAAGTGTGTATTTTATAAATTATTATTATACATTTTCTTTTAAAAATTAACCAACTCGTATGATTATATTATGGTAGTTATCACTGTTTGTAGTTGTAACAAGAAAAAATAATAAAAACAATTCAATTAATACCATTGTAAACTAGCTTCTTGATATTCAAATCCTATTCAATCTAATTTTATTTGCGATTACTGTATCCTAAGTGTTACGGACGTATGTATGTATTCAAAGAACATGTTACGTTCGAATTCAATTATCGCTTTCGAAGCGAATGAATTTGGCGAAGCAAACGGTTTGGCAAAGCGAATGGGTTGGCGAACGCAAGTAAAATATGCATTAATAGTGTTCGCTTGTACCAGCTTGTGCAAGTTCTTTGCACTCTTAAAGCCTCAAAAAAAAATCGGACTACGAAGGATTCAGTGATACCCCGAATATTTACCTGAATTTTGCACTGAAGATCATCGCGGTTTATTGTAAGCCATTTAAAAATTATGTTCTGATTTTAGGGCCTTCCGCAGCCCTCAAGAAAACCGAAAGATTCAGGTAAAATTACGCACGAGATATGGGAAAGTAATTTTCTTCTATCAAAATTTCTTAAATCAGTATGCAGCTCTCAAGAAAAAAATGCTCGTATACCAGGCACCAAGGCGTATCCATACATACACAGATGCGCCTTGGCAAGGCACATTAAACAGGTAGTAGGATTACAGCAAAAATAACATTTACGTCTATTTAGTTGTTGCTTCTGGTCTCTAAAGTGTTAAAAAACTATTATGCAAGGCATATCAAACAGGTAGCATTAGCGCAAAACCAACATGTGCGTGTATTTTGTTGTTGCTTCTGGTATCGAAAGTGTCAAAACCTGTTCTGATTTTTTTCTTCTAAATCAAAGCGTACCGTGTGAAATAAAAAATCTAAATTGGAATAATTTTTTCTTAGTAAACTTGTTTGCTTCTCGAATCTGTAATCTGTAATCAGCGGTTGTGCTGCTGAGTTGGGCGAAGTCCCAAAAGCTGCTATTCGATCGCTTGTTTTGTATGGAAAATGGTTTCACATGCATAGATTTTAACATTTTAAAAGTTTCGAGACCAAATAATTAGAAAAAAATCAAATCAGCTGCTCTATCGATACTACCTGTTCAATGTGCCTTGGTATTATGTGTCTTTTTACCATAGTATGCCAAGTGAAATATAAAAAAGTTAACAAAATTTCAATCAGAAAATGTGAACATTTTTGTAACATTCTTTCTGTGTATTTTTTTTTTTGTATCCAGGAGCACCAAGGCACAATTATCAGCGTTTATTCACCTGAGTCAAGCGAACGTTCCAAAAGGTTCAATCTCGTCGTTTTATGAAAAAAACTCACATAAAAATGTATTTTGGGAATTTAGAATTTTTATGAAAAATTTAGAAAAAAAAACAATATTTGACAATCTGGAGACCAAATAATAAAAAAAAAATCAAATCAGCTGATCTAACCTGTTCAAACCTGTTCAATATGCCTTGCTCGTATATTTATTTCTTCAAGAAAATTTACGGCAACACCAAAGTAGATACATACTTTTTCAAGCAACAGAAATAATGAAAAATATGTCTTGTGATTATTTCTTGAGAACTGCAGACAGCCCGTTTAACAATAAGAAACTTCAAAAATTTGTGGCCAAAATTCTCTATTTTTCGACAAATCAATTCAATTTGAGTGCGATGCGCTTTGTGGCAATATTAGCGCATTTTAATATTTAGAATATGTAGCCGCATTGAATAGTTCGTGGTAGAAATATTGATTCTTAACTTTCAAGTTAAGCTTCATTGCAAGATCCTTTATTAATAATTCAAATGGCAAATATTTATGAACATCAGCGTGTATTCCGAGTAAAACAATGTTTCTTATATGTTTACATTCAACACTAATGTAAGGTATTGACATAAAAAGTATAGAAAGGCACATATGTATGTATAAAAATTTGTATCTCAATTGACATTGTTATTTTAATTTTTTATTTTATGTTTTTTATTATATCTCATTACATCAATTTAGTTTATACGTACTTACATACATACCCGTGTAGCATTGACTTATTCTATGATCGTTTTTATTGACTTAATTTTTAGTTTAACAAAACAAGTATAATTATAAATATATGAAATAAATTTTTTTTTTAATATTTGGCTTTCTTTTTTAGTTTTAAATATACATACACAAATATAAGGGTTTCGGCCACTCGGCAAATGTGACAATCTTGGGTTCTCTTATACAAATTATCTGTTCGATGAATTTTTATTTTATTAAATTGAAAAACATCTTTTGACTTACATTCGATTTTCTTCCTTTTGTGATTCAAAATATTTAAGAATGCCATATTAAATGTAAGCTCAAACTTAATGGTTTCACCCATACTTTGACATATTCCTTTAATCTTCACTCACTTGGTTCCAATATTGAATCCAACGTAAATTCGATTTTCGTGAGATCTACGAAAATGCTATCAGTAAATCCGAATATCTAGGAACCTAAAATCGAAATTAATAAGGGCCTGTTCGAAGCACGGCAATACTGCAGCGCTCATTAAAATTTGCAAGACTGTTGCAACGTCGCAAATGATAAAACGTTGCTGGAAATTGACACCGAACGTGATACTTTAATTATTCGCGCAACACTGCGGTTGTGATTACAACTCGAACAAGCCCTAATAGTGTCGATGCCATATATGGATGTGTATAACTCCAATGTTCTATAATACCGTGCGAAAGTCAATTTTACACACGAAAAAATCATTATATGTGACACGTAAAGTTAAAAGGGACCTACGCTCAGAAAAAGATTTCGAGAAAAACGACTTTGAAGTTTACCAAGTTGATTTTGTTGCTTCTGAACGTTTTAATGGATTGAAACTCGTTACTCAGGGGTTTTCGGGGTCGCTGATTATGAATCGGATGTTAGTTTTGCAAAATTCAAAATGGCGGATCCAATATGGCGGATGACTTTTTTAAAAATTGATCGGAATCGCTTGAAACTCGTTACTCGGGAGTTTTTGGTGTCGCTGATTACGAATCCGATGTTCGTTTTTAAAAATTGATCTACTATTTTTTATTGCCCAAATAATAGATATAAGAACGATTATAAGAAATGTAAACATAACAAGACTGTCAAAGCTAAACTTCAAAATGGGGGGGGGGGGATTGCCAGATGAATGTACGTAACCAATAGTTATTCAAGACACGAACCATTATATCAGTATAGACACGAATTGACATGGCCACTATGAAAACGCCCACACTGACATACGAATAAAAGAATCGGTGGTCACATACCACGAGGCGAGAAAAATATATTTCTTTTTGGAATTGGACACGGAGCGAACCACACTCATCAGCCCTTGCAAGAACGGAATTACAACCAAGTAATTAAAGTGGATTAAAAGCTTGTATTAAAAGCTGGCGACATTCGGGGAGTCGATACTCACCCCTCAGTGGTAATTAATAGAGGCAAAAGGTGCCGTCACATTACTTCCGGCAAATCCCCAGCCATGTTGTTGCGTAGAATAAAGAAAAAAAAAAAAAAATCTTTTAGTCGTTTTTCTCATTTTGTTGATCACAAAATTGTACGTCGGTGAACCAAACATATTCGAGTTTAATAGATTTTTGATACATTTTTTCTTTTAGAAATTTCGCTATTATAAATCATCATTGAGATTGAATCAAATAATTATCTTTTGTAAATCAATATCGTCCTCAGTCTTCACACGGCATGATTTAATTTATTTTTATTGGAGCTCGTTTTCAATCAAAAATTTTGTGGATATTTTGATTATTTAATTCCGCGGGGGTGAATGGTGATCGATCTGCGATGCGAACACCATTGATCAGCAGTCATAACCATTCTCGTTCAGTTCAGTTCGCCAATTCTGAAAAGCAAGTTAATTTAATTTTTTAACGAAGTAACACCACACATCGACGGTCAAGATTTTTGAACCGATCATTTTTCTTTTCGTCTTTCGGTATAAGTTCAAGCAACGTAACCGATAACACGGTCAATATTAATTGAACCAAACTATTGATTTTTCTTTATTTTTGTAATTGGGTATTAATTCCCAATAAAATTTCAAACTCATATCAAAGTAAACTCGTTTAACATTCTCAAACTGGTTGAATATTCTCAGTCTGATTTGGTCTTCCCGTAAATTCGGGGGTGGATAGTCTTGATCTTTGTTGCGTACCTTGTTGGCGACAGAAGGGACCGAAGGAGATACAGGTAATACTCCCAAGTATTCAAGGCCTTCGCTGCATCCCGGGAGCAAACTACTTGGCCCATAAAAAGATTCGAGCTAGTGCGTTAAACGCCCTTCTCAGCCCACGTTCGGTATAATATTAAACAAAATTTTGGACCGAAAATCACATGAGATATACAACCAAATGAGCGTGACTTTTTTGTTCAACTAATTAGATTTAAAGCAATATTCAAATAGTGATCGATTTATGCGGCATTATTTTTGAAAGTGGATATTCAAAACGACATACTCATAGAATAAAATAATAATAATAATAAATAATAAACAGAAGTAAATACTATACTGATTTTAAATCGAGTACCATCATCTTATAACATAGACTTTAATAGTACGGATTCTACGTCTACCGTTGGCAGAATTTTTTTAATAATCGGAATTTACAACTTGGTATTTGAGTCTTTGAACATGGAATTGTTTCCCATTCTCGATGCAACTTATTTGACAGACGAACAGCGACAGATCGAAGGGGAGATATATAACCTATATCCAGCGCCGGTTCAATGGACCGACACCGAAATAGCCGCCCTCAATGGTAAAATATCTGCTTACGTTGGCCAACCATGGTTGATAAAATCCCATGCCATACACCAAATGAATGAGTAGGAAATATGTGAGAGAGCATATCGGGAACTGAAGGCGAATGAGATGTTAACACCTCAGGGTCGTCTTCATCACATGATACATTATTGTTATCGAACCGCTCGGTTGAAGTTAAAACCCGAGTCGGCGTCACCCCAGGCAGATCTGATCGGAAAATTTCAGTCGAAGATTCGTGAGCTTCGGATGTCTTCACAGAATACGGGAATCCCGACGTGCAATCCCCAATTAAGTTTGAACTCGATCTTCCATGGTTTTGAGAACGAACGGGGAACGATGAGTTCAACTCAAAATACTGTTCCATCACAATATTTACCCTTAACCATACCAGATTCGATTCCAAACCAGAATATACCGACTTCGGTTCAGGAAACTGAACCACGGTATACCCCGACCACCGGTACGGTTAATTCAAATTCTCAACCAGCCGTTCTCAATTCAGTGTCAGGCGGAACGGAACAAACACCCTCATTACACCAGTTGTCTGTAATGGTGTCTGAGTTGCCGAGAGCCCAAACACAGATTCAACAGCAAATGATCGGTGATCGGATTCAGTTGCAGACACAAATTCCTGACGTTCGTGATATGAACCAAACCATGCCAACGACCCGGAATCATACCTGGATACCACCCTCGGTGGATCCTCCGCATGGTTCTTTGGGTGGTCCTGCAACCTTACAAACTCAAACGATCAATACCTACCGTGGTGTTAGAACGTCTCATATCCAAGAACCAATTAATCAACCATCTCATTTATATCCGAATTATTCGCTATCCGGTCCACCACAATCACGACCAAATCAAGCCACTATATTCGACGAATCTGCCCAAGCGGATGCAATGGGTAGGAAATTCAGAGGCTTATCATCATGGATGGGACGTGCTCAACTCGATGGCGTTCATGTGAACGAAAAATTTCTATCGGTTGAAGATTATTTGGCTATTATTGGCTCATTTCGATATAAGATTGGAGTACCCGACCATGAATT